AAAAAAAAGCCTCGGCAACATGGTGAAACCTCATCTCTACTAAAAATACAAAACTTAGCCAGGCATGGTGGTGCATGCCTGTAGTCCCAGCTACTCAAGAGGCTGAGGCACGAGAATCACTTGAACCCGGGAGGCGGAGGCCGCAGTGAGCCAAGATCACACCACTGCACTCCAGCCTGGACTACAGAGCAAGACTCTGTCTCCAGAAAAACAAACAAATAAAACAAATAAAATAAAATAAAAATTAATTAATTAGAGGAATGAATGGACACATTAATTCCTGGCTCAACTAACCTCTGGAGTCTTGATGATTATAACAGATACCCCTATGAGTCACTCTGTCCTTATGAGTACCTCTAATTTCCATGACAGCTAGGAAGGTGTATATATAACCCTGGGACGTGGAGGGCTTTCATTTTAATCAACAACATACCACTCTGGGCTGGGCTTTGGTAATTGGCAATAGGTAATAAAAGTTTCATACTAAATTAACACATGGTCAGAAGAAGAGTACTCAGTGAGCTGAGTACTCAGGCCAACTGTCAAGCCATACGTACTTTGTACCTGATACCTTAAGCTCAAGGACTGAAGCACTTAAAAGTGACCAGAAAAAGTTGAATTTTTGAGATGACCTAGTAAGACCAGACACTAGAAAGAAAGGTTTCTTTACCAAAAGGGCTAAATTTACAGTTGAGTGATCTTCATCCCAATTATGTGCATAATATGTGAGAATATATCCTTTAATAAGGTGACTGAAAAGCCAAGTCATATTGCTCGACATAATGTATGGGAATTTACTAATAACCTTTCAGTTTAAAAAGGCTTATGGGCTCAAAATTTAGAGAATCCTGAGAGAAAAAAGACAAAAGGAAGCAAATAGATTCAGTAGAACAGCTGCATTACAACCAATAACCAACTTAGAAAAGGTTCTATCCTACAGTCCAAGAAGTGCCTTAGGGAAAATAATTTTAAAATAAATGCAGAATTGTGCATGGGTATGCATCATTGAGAAGAATAAAGTCCACATTTTTCATGAGATTCCCAAGGTAGCTTGTGACCAAAAATAGAAACCATTCAAAACCACTGATCCAGTCACTTTGAAGCTGATACAGGGTAGACCAGCATTTTTAACTGTCCCAATTACTTAAAATCAACTTTCTAAAACAATAAGGTAAACTCCAACAAGAAGCTAATGGCTGAGCTTCTGGTATGTTACCCTTGTGTTCCCAAATTAAAGAGTTTTTAATTATTCAAATAAGCATTAAAGACAGAGTCATCTGTGAAAGGTGACATAAACACATCAAAAGGGAATACTTTTTTTTGGTGTTGTCGTTTTTAAGTCCCAACTATCAGTTTACTGCTGCTGTCTTATCAAATGAACTGCTCTAATTATTCCCTTCATAGGAAATGACTACCCTCTTCTCTCCTTCATCGGGTCATGAGCTATTAAGAGATCAGGGAGCATGTCACATGCCTCCTTACCACAGGTGCCTAGAACAATAGCTAGAACCATAGTTTAGCACATAGAAAGTATACAAGAAATCTTTACTCAAACTTGTGCCCCAGCCATTTACTCTACTGGTTTAACTAAAAGGTAAACTTAGTTTCTTTCTATCACATCTTTTTTATTACAATACAAATGTAATATTTTAATGCAGACCAAGAAGTCTACTTTTCAGAGTTGTCTAACTCAAAGTAAAATTTAGTTCAGCCATATACATCAAGTTATTCAATTAACTTGTTTATCTAAAAAGTAGACTCTCCGGCTGGGTCAGTTGTTACAAACCAAAAACAATGTTATCTCAAGCACGACCTCCAGGGCAAAAAAAAGTTAATAACAAAAAGAAAATATGTATAACAGTTTTTTAGACACAATGATGAGAATTCCGTTTCTGTTACAAGTTAGTTCTTACTTGGAGACATCATTAAATACTATCTATCTATTTATTTATTGAAACAGAGTGTCACGCTGTCACCCAGGCTGGAGTGCAGTGATGCATTTCCAGCTCGCTGCAGCCCCTGCCTCCTGGGCTCAAGCAATCCTCCCACCTCAGCCTCCTGGGTAACTGGGACTACAAGCACACGCCACCATCCCTGGCTAATTTTTGTATTGTTTGTAGATATGGGCTCTCCCTGTGAACCATCTCCCAGGCTGGTCTTGAACTTCATCTGCCTCAGCCTCCCAAAGTGCTGGGGTTACAGGTGTGAGCCACCACACCCAGCCTCTTTTATACTATCTTTAAGTGCAACTATAAACTTAAAAAGTAGCCCATGTAGAACATGTTTAAAACTATTTCTACAGAAAACACCAGCTTTGGGCTGGGCACTGAGGCTGGTGGATCACCTGAGGTTAGGAGTTGGAGACCAGCCTGGCCAACACGGCAAAACCCCGTCTCCATTAAAAATACAAAAAATTAGCCAGGCGTGGTGGTGGGCATCTGTAATCCCAGCTATTGGGAGGCTGAGGCAGGAGAATTGCTTGAACCAGGAGGTAGAGGTTGCAATAAGCTGAGATTGTGCCACTGCATTCCAGTCTGGGTGACAGAGGAGACTCTATCTGGAAAGAAAGAAAGGAAAGAAGGGAGGGGAGAGGAGGGGAGGGGAGGGGAGGGGAGGGGGTAACGCCAGCTTTCCCAGTACATACAATGCATTTTATATCTGGTTTGTAGTGGGTTAAATAATCTGTACACAAGTGTGGTCACTAAAGATGAAAATTATGTGAAAAAGTTGTGGGTCACTGGCTCAAGTATGTGCCATCTAATTTGAAACCAAAATCTTATAAACTTACTAAGCAAATTTCCCAAAAGAGGAAAGTAGAAGAGAATCTCAGCTTTGAGATTCAATTATTTCACTTAAGCAAAAGGTAGCTTTAGAACTTTGTTTTTATCAGTTCTGTTTTACCCAAGATTTCCAATTTATCATTAAAAATGCTGATGATTTAGCATTAAAAATGCTGATGAGGAACCTAAGACTACAAATAACTTTTTCTAATGTGTATGAATGCAGCAAAAAAGAAAAAGAAAGAGATAAAAATAAAGTAGTAGATACTTAAAGTAATAATAAAGTTAGCAGTTTAGGAGGTAGAGGCAGGTGGATCACCTGAGGTCAGGAGTTTGAGACTAGCCTGGTCAATGCAGTAAAACCCCGTCTCTACTAAAAACGCAAAAAATTAGCTGGGTGTGGTGGTGGGCACCTATAATCCCAGCTACTCAAGAGGCTGAGGTAGGAGAATTGCTTGAACCTGGGAGGCGGAGGTTGCAGTGAGCCAAGATTGCATTCTAGCCTGGGCAACGAAGCAAGGCTCCGTCTCAATCAATCAATCAATACAAATTTTTAAAAGGCAGTCAACTGCTGAAGAAAACTTAGGGAAAACTCTACTGGACAGTGGCCTAGGCAAATAATTTATGACGAAGACAAAAAAGCGAATGCCCAAAAACCAAAAATAAATGGGACCTAAAAAGCTGCACAGCAAAAGAAATGCTCAATAGTAAACAGACAATGTATAAAATGGGAGAAAATATTTGCAAATTACGCTTCTGGAAAAGGATGAATATCCACAATCTACAAGGAATGCAAATAATAATAATAAAAAAATCGACCCCATTAAAGCTGGGCAAAAGGCTGGGCGCAGTGGCTCATGCCTATAATCCCAGCACTTTGGGAGGCTGAAGCAAGGGGATGACTTGAGGCCAGGAGTTCATGACCAACCTGGCCAACATGGTGAAACCCCATCTCTACTAAAAGTACGAAAAAAATTTTTAACTTTTTTTTAATTTTTAAAGAATAAAAACACACAACAGATAAACATGATGGAAACTAAAGATCCTAAAATTCACAGCAGAGTACAATCAATATTCCTTTTGCTAAAGAAGGGAATTTCCAAGTTTTGCACCAGCTACAAAATTCTGGTGATTTCCAAAGTCCCTGCAGAGCACATTAAAGTTGTGAGACTGTAGAGGACAAGTTTTTCTAAAGAAAGTATTTGTGATCCTAGGAGAAAAAAAAAAAAAAAAAGAGCACTAATTTTATAAGCAAATAAAATTTAAAGTAGGTCAAAATGTTTGTCTTCAGTGTTCTGGGCCTTAACAACACTTATAATGACACATTACTGATGGTATTTGCAAACAAAAGAAGCATTCAATTAAGATAGTTATTCTTATGATTGAAGGGTGGAGAAAGAAAATCAACACTTGCTACAAAGTTGGAAGACAGCTAACATATTCTATAAACAGTATATTTTGAAAAAATAATCTTTTTAAAAACTCTGGTATAAATACAACAGCCAAGACAATGTGAGGAAGAAAAAGTCAAATTATAAAATTGTTGGTCTTTATGGAGTAGACCTGAAGGCCTCCATTTAGAAGTATCCCACACATTCAGAACACATGAACCTGAGGAAATCAATAGTACTACTCAGTATGGTAATAATAATCACAGAAACACAAATAACAATAGCAGCTACCATTTGAGCTGTCACCCCATGTCAAGCACAATGCAAGAGGAGAGAAAAAAAATGAGGAAGGAATCTAAACAGCACAATGATGTAAAAAGGGCTCTTTATTCAGAGCAACTAGACCTGATAAAGTAGCTTTACTACTGGTTTTATTACTAACTCTGTTTGGTGACTGTGTCACTATATTTCTCTGGCTTTGGTTTCTCCATCTGTAAAGTCAATAAATTGAACAAGATAACCTCTTAAGACCTTTCAGCTCTGTAAGTCCACAATCCTGAATCAAAGGACTACTACCGACCATTTAATTGGCTACAAGGTGAATCGAAATTTCCAGTAAAAGATCTTTTCACTATTTCAGGCACAAATATGTAAACCTCTGGCTGAGAATAAAATTTCTGCCACAAGTGTATAAGATTAACAGGAAATAGACATTTTTATCCGAAATAAAATGTTCTGCAGGCCTACAGATCTGCCCGTTAGGCAGGCAACAAAATTTTCACCTGTCCTGACCATACTTTACATGTTAATCTCCTGGCTAAACATAATCACTACTGTATCACCACCCAAATGAGAAATTAAATGCATATTTGAAAAACAAAATGTTGTATATTTTTAAAGAAGGGCCTAATTTTGTGTTTGAAGTTCTAAGTGATTACAAGTGTACAGTGAACCAAATGTCACCAACTTTTATCTCTGTCTTGCTAGGGCACATAAGGAAGTGAGGAATATCTTCAAGATCTATTCCATTCTACAAGAGATGACAGTAGGCTAACCTAGCACCTAACCTGGTCAGCCAGAGATAAAGATTAGCTAAATAACACTTGTAGAATGATGACTACTGGGTAATAGGAGCTATAAGAAGTGGTTTCACACATAGAGTATTAGCCCCATTTCACCAATGAGGACATTTAGACTCAGGGTGATTAATTTGGCCAATATGACACAACTAGTAAGTGGTTGGGCAAGGATTTAAATACAGGTGTTCAGACTTCCAGGCCAATGCTCTTAGTCCTACACTATGCTGAAGTAAGATGTATTCAAACAGTGACACAGCTGCAGTGATTTAACTCTTAACAGATCACAGGTGAAGGAGTGTACTGCGCAGCATGCACCCTTTGGGACATAAGACCGTATTTATATTTGAGAAGTGGGATGGGAGGTGGAGAGGTTGGCAGGGGAATTAGAAAGAGATGCAAATAAAGTCATTCCAGGACAGCTCTCTCCAAAAGAATGCAAATCATTTATATCCTAGTCCAGCCATTCAAGGGTAATTCAGGAAGCTTTGCACAAGTAAATAATTCCTATTTTTAGCACACTTTAAGGTTTAAAGTAATACACATAATCAACAAGCACTGTGAATCGTAATGGAAGGCAAGTGAATGATTTTTCACCTATAACAAGCAAAGTGATTTTTTTAAATAAACTGTCTTTCAGAGGAATACTTACCATAGTATATGATCTGTATAAGTGCACATACATGTACACATATAAAAATGCATCAGTGTCCTCAGGAGCATAAATTAGAATAAATGCATTATCTCATTCACTATATGAACATCTATTGAGTTAAAACAAAAACTTACCTTAGATGAAACTATTCTATTATCACAAAATCTTTGTGCAATGTAAGCTTCTGTTTCCGAAACTGGATGATTGCCAACAAACACTGTGCGTGTACCAACTCGTTTCTCTTCTCCAGCACACTGACCAAGAGAAAAGGAAAAAAAATCAGTTTTTCATCACATTTCTTCACACTTCTACCAAGCCCAGGATTCTTGTCTAAGCATGTTGGGCTATAATCTGGGGAGAAAGTAGTAGGGATAGGAGAAAATCTTGTTAGGAAATTCAAAATCCACTAAGCTCTTACTTGCTGACATAGTAAAGATTACCAAAAGTGTTGCTTGAACCAACTGTTCTGAGGTCAACGGTGCAATTCTAAAATGATTAAAGAAAGTATCCTAGAGAAACAATATTTTTACTGCCAATCATTTTTCTTTCATCCACAGCTCAAATTAATCTTAATCATAACCTTCACTAGCAACACATTAACTTAAGAAAGAACTGGGAATAGTTCATTTATTATGCAGCTACTGAGGACAACCTTGCCAACTACCTTACTAGAGAACAGAAAGCACAATGAAGATTACTGCTAAACACAAAA